CACCGTCATGTCAGTCGGCAAAGTCAGAACCATCATCCTACTAGGAGGGAGCCCCCACAGAATCCGCAACGATAGTCGTTCGAATATGGCAATGCTCGCAACGACAAGATCCACAACATTTTGCAAGCAGCCAGGAACAGATTCGTGTCGTCATCTCACTACCCTACTAAACCCACACACCTCTAAACCCTAGACTTTAAACCCGAACAAAGCCCTCAAACACCCAAACCCTAAACCCTAAAAGCCCCAAGCTCTAAACCCTAGATCCCTAAAAGCCCGAAACCCTAAACCCTAAAGCCTTAAACCCCTAAACCGCTCTAAGACACAGGAGCCACCGGACGAGGAGAAAGCCCAACTTGCCGCAGGCAGACGGCAGTCTCTTGGGGTTTATAGGGCTCAGGGTTCAGGGGTTTAGGGGTTTAGGACTGTAGGGTTTGGGGTTTAGGGCTTTAGGGGTTTAAGGGTTTATTACGATTCAGGGTGTGGGGATTATAGGGTTTAGGGCCTTAGGGCTGTAGGGGTTTCAGGGTTAGGGGTTAGGGATTTGGGTTTGTGGTTTATAGGGATGGGGCTTATAGGGATTGGGATTCATGGAGTACGGCTTGGGGTTCAGGGCTTTGGGATTATAGAGGGCTTAGGGATTACGATTCAGGGTGTGGGGATTGTATCGCTTACGGATTAGGGTCTAGGGTGAAGGATTCGGAGTTTAGGAGTTTGGTTGGGCAAGGGTCATCTGGGGATTCGTTGTTCCCACTTGAATGGGAGGATTCACGATTCAGAGGTGGTTCTGTGCCTGAGCCGTATGTTTCCAGGTGCAGGACTTGTGTTTGGTTCTCGAACAAGACACCGCGAATGGTCGTTCCTCGATTCCCACCACCACAACCTCAACCACAAATAAAAAGACACACCTGTATAAACTTGTTAAAGCCCTTACGACCCAATCCCCAGAGTCAACGGCCTGAAACCCTACTGTGGCCCCTGTCTCGCGACATGAAGCCCGCAACATCCCACAGGTGCAAAACGCCTGATGGAAGAGATGGGATGGACCCCACAGGCACAATCAAGAGCCTCCTTGGTGCAGGGGTTCAGGGTCAGTAAACTCAATGCGACGACGAAGACTGCAGCAGTGCTTTGAGCGTTAAGTCAGGTGTTTACAGGGCCAGCAAACGTTCAAGCTTTAGGGGCTCTAGGGCACACTATTGTTCAGACCAGTGCCAGAGAATAGGCTGTGGTCCGTTGTAGTTTCGAGCTGGGTTTCTTGGGTTCAGAGCCTCAGGTTCTGTAATCCGCACAACCTAGGGGTGCCGACAATTGCAATGTTTATGACTCGGTGTAGACGAACTCACGGTATGTTCAAGGCTTATGTTTTCAAACTCAGAGGTTTCACTCTCAGTCTTTAGCATCAACACTAAACCCTACAGACATTATCTCCTTGTCGCCGCACGTCCCTATACTTTTTTTACACGAAAGCCTTGTTCTAATCTTGCCTATATGGTTTCGTTGCTTTGCTGGGGGGTGGGGGGACTGGGGAGTTAAACGGCCTGCAATTCCGATCTGCCTTCGATTCATCCAGAAGTCTGCAGGCTTGTACCTCTGCACTGCAGGGTTTGAGGCGCTTGTCGCAGGGGTTTCAGTGTCCATGTGGCTTTGCTCTCGACCCTCCTCGGTCACTGCTTGCAGCCATTTCGGCTGAGTTGGCTCCTTCGCATTCAATTCCGTAGCCCTATGCAGGACTCATCTAAACCTTCACCCCCAAAAGCTGCACTTCCAGGGTTTTTTAGGGGCTTTAACAATTAGAATAGGTTGTACTATGTTCATAATAGGGAACCCCCAGAACAGCATAGGAAAGTATTAAGGCCCCTACAGTAGGATTTCCATCCCCGAAAAAAGCGGTTTTGGGGATTTGCAGTTTTTGACTGAACCGTCGGAGACCATGAGCTTCACTTCTCAGCTCCTTAAGGACCAAATGACCCTCAAAACAAGCATCCTTATACCCCCATACTATGAGCCCCTATATGGTATATGAACCTTCAACTTTTTTAGGGTTCATGTCGTCTTTAAGGCTGATCTCTGGGAGAAGCGCTCAAGTTGAGGCTGTGGAGGTCGCAAGTGCATCAGATCAAAGCAGATGGTGCCACGTGATCCCTTCTACCGGAGGCCTGGTGGGGAAGCCCGAAGCCCACGTAACCCCCAACCATCCATAGACCCGCAAACCTAAACCCCACCCTCAAACTCTAAGGCTAGACCCCAAACCCTAGCCCACTTCTGCCAAAATGTATACATGTATATATATATATATATATATATATATACACATATACATATACACACACATGTATATGTATATGTAAAGGTATATGTCCGCGTGCATGTGCATGTACATGTATGCGGATGTGTATTTGTATGTGCGTGTCTGTATGTATATATATATATATATATGTATATGTACGTATATGTATCTGTTTAACTATCTTTTATCTCTCTCTCTCTCTCTCTCTCTCTCTCTCTCTCTCTCTCTCTCTCTCTCTTCCCCTCTCTCGAAATACCCAAACCCGGATCAAACTCTTCAGGCCCCCTCTTTTGGCCCTGAGCCGCCTGGCTTCCAGGCCCATCGAGGTGTTAAGCCTCCATCCGGATCCTTTCTGGGGCCTGCCGACGAGTATCGTCGACTGGTGCCGCTTGGCTCTGTGTAGAGGGTTTGGGGTTTGGTGGTTTAGGGGTTTACGGTGTAGGAGTTCAGGGGTTTAGGGTCCTAGGTGGGTTTGGGCTCACGGTTCTTTAATGGCCTTGCGGGGCTCTTACTAGGATCTTAGTAGCCCTTTCTGGAGTTAATGTTTTGTTGCAGCGTCCGTGTTGCACACCGACATCTCCAGAGTTTTCAGTCACAGAAGCCGAACCAACAAGTAATGTAGTAGTGAGTAGGTGGCCGTGCCTTAGTCCTTGTATAATCTCTAAGATTTGTTCCCCGCTAGGATACTGGCATGTAACGCGAAAAGGAGCCCTGCATTCTTGCGTAGCTGTTATTCGACTCGGGTTTACTCAGGGTTTAGGGTGGAGATCTCGATTTCAGAAGCCTGTGGCACCGGGAAGCAGCTGCAGCACAGCGAAGGTGAGGCCAACTACGCCCACACCCCTTATGTTGCTGAGTTCTTCAATACGCTGACTGCCGTGCCAATGGTGGCCGTGCCTCACCTTGATGCTCTGGGTTTTGGCTTTAGGGGCCTCGGGTTTCGAGTTTTGTATGCTTCAGCCATCTGCCTTATTTATGGATGAGGATTTCGTTGTCAAGTCCTTCAAACTGTCGTTTGAGTCGTCGGTGCAACGGCCAGAAGAGCCGCAACCCCGCAAGATAAATGTGTTGGTAGTTTCTTTTTTGTAAGATACGTTGGTTCTGCTAGGTCTTAGGCAAGCCCCAAAGCCCCAGACCCAATAAGCAAGTCAGCAAGCATTTGCCGCCACACCTCTAGACCGCAACTTGCAGAACTTCTGAACCCGAAACCCTCAAAGCCTTCAAATACCATAAGCCCCAAACCCCGAGAAACTCCAAACTTGCAACCCTACGCAGATTTCCTCCCAAAACAAACATCCAGAACATGCAGACAACAAGTGCTCGCTCGATATTTATGTACAAATTTATGAACCCCGGTGAGTCTGTAAGAAGTCTTGTTATGCGTCTGAAAACCCTTCAAGAACTCTATAGAACGCCATAGGAACCAAAGGTTTCCCGAAACCCTAAACCCTTCAAGAAGCCCACCTGAAACTACCAAAACCTGCTTTTGCGGTAGGGTCCCTCGAAATTCTGTTTTAGGGCATGCGAACCTACAAAAAATGGTAGGTTTTTGGTGGTTTAAGGTAAGTATAGAACCCCAAAAAGAGATCCCAAAGGTCTCCGTCTGGGGTCTCTACCTCTGCGTGAGCTATGGCCTGGAGCTCCGCTTTTACCTCTGTTGGGTCGGCATTGGCGCGGTAGGCGCCGGACTAGGGTTCAGGGGTTTAGGATCCATGTTGTGGTTTAGGGTGAATGGGGCCTATTTGTACACAGGTGCGGAATGGTTAGTAGTTCTCTATGCTATCCGCCGTGTATGACTACCGTGTCATCTACCTCAGTGAACCCTAGCCTCGTCATTGAGAGCCCTCTTTGCGGTGTTTAGGAGGCCCCTCTGGTCCGCCATAGAGGGTAGTTGTGGCATACTTACCACTATGGGCTACTGGGTGCCTTGATCTACCCTTAATAGGGTCCTAATAGGGATCTTTAGGGTCTAATAGCCCATAGTGGTACTGGAGGGTAGTTAGGGGGTTTAGGTGGGTTGGAGCTTAGGTTTCATGGGCCCAAATTGCGAGCTCACGATAATGGCTTTCTGGGAGTCCAGTTCAGGGTTTTCGGCTTTGGGGGGTTTCAAGGGCTCAGGGCTTTGGGGCTTGGAGATGCCGGGCACCCGGGCTTGGGATTATGACTTCATGAATGTGGAAGTGCGAAGAATTAGTAATTAACAGTGTCTCTTACGTACAATCGTTATGGTTGAAGCTCAACATATGTAGTTAATACCATTTCGAAATTTCAGGACTCCTCTAATACCTGGACCCTCGTGGGGGCAATAATAAAAGGCGTTGAGTGGAGTAATACATAATTCCGCCGCTGTATAAATAAAAAGGCGCTGCCTGGAATAAACGCCGTTGTGTCTCTGGCGAGTTTAGGGAGGTTGTTGGGGTGTTCGATAAGAGTACTTGCTTCGGCAAACAGTGGCTCTATTTGGCTTCAGGAGGGTGTCGGGCGATGTCTGCTTGCATACATTATGGGCCTTGGGTTTTCAGCGAACTTCATAAGGTTTCATAAGTTGTACATAGGAATCGAAGTGGCTTTGTCTTTGCTTTAGGCATCAAGGAGAACAGCGAAGCCAGAGGTCTTATCTAACAAATCCTCAAGCACACCATAAGCCCTCCCCTTCCCAGAGAAGACTGAAGTCTTTCGCATCGCCATGGACTTCGCGAACTTCTTCGGCTCATGGCCTGGCACTCAAATCCCTCTTTCTCTTTCGAGATAGATTCTGTTTCTCACCATTCATAAATCTTCTGTGGAGCGCCTTCATCTTCATTAGAATTCGTTCCAGGGCAGAGCGAGCGGCTTGCTTCTGGTGTATTCGACGAATCACTCGAGAGACCTTGCCCACCACATCTTCGTTGGCCTCACATCCATAAATCAATGGATTTGGAATTGCTGTAATGGTCGGATCAGATAGCCATTCCCAAACTTCATGAATGTCGTGGAACAAAAGGTGCAGCTTGGGCTTCATGCCGTAGCCTCTGAAAGGCAGGTCTTCGATGAGGGCTGAGTTCAAGCAGGCATGAGCGAGAGTGTTGTAACCTTTCAAGAATTGATACCCTTCTTCGGCCAGGGCCAAAGCACATTTCCTAGACAGCCATAGTCCATGCTTGTAGAGGCACTTAGCCCAAGAAGTGCCAGCTTTTGCAGTCCGATTGATTAGCTGCAAAAAAAAGATGTACTCATCCTTCTTCGGATCCATCAAACACGACCGGCTAAGATACTGTAGCCAATCGATCAGCAGCATTGTGTCACTGCCCTTGGTTTTGCACCAAGGGTATTTCTTCGAAGTCGAACAATTGAAATTGTCTTTTGTGAAAGAATGCATGGCCGGATGCTTGCCTTGCGAAGAGCAGAATAAACGGAAATGGCCAAAAGCCCGTTGTAGAAGCACCGACCGGTTATTTGGCCCAGCATCCTCATGGAAAAAGCCAAACTGGATGATCAAGAGGAGGGAGGAACCAATGAAATCTCGAAACGTTCCAATCTTGCTGCAATGGAAAAAATCCCGCCGCAGGATCTTCTCTGGAGCATTGCGGTCGAATGGTATTCTGTCGAACATAGGCGGGTCGTCACTCGACCACGGTCGCTGTGTGTACAAGCTCCTGCGCCATGCAAGGTTTCGCCGAATATCCTCGAATGGCTGGTCGTTTGTTCCAGCACCACAAACGTGGCAGGAGGCAGAATCCGGTGCTAGATGTCTATAACATCTAGTGAGCTTCCCGATCTTATGGTACCAAGCTAAATCTCCTTTCAGGCCAATGATAGCGCCAAACCAATACATTCCCCGTGCATATACTCCCTCGAAAAAAAGCTGCCGTAGTTCTGCCGATATTTGTCGTATCAACAATTCAAACAAGTTCTTTTGCTTGAAGAAAACACGTGGGAGTGCGAACAGCACAAACTTCGTCAGGAATGAATGATGTTGCAAATTGATTTCTTGAAATGCAGAAGCAGGAGCTGTGTCATGCTTCCCAGCCTGGGTCTTGCAACGAGCCTCCAGATCCAGGCCCATCTCCGAGCAGCAGTGACAAGAGGCGTAGTGTGTTCTGCACTGAATATTTTCTGCAGTGCTCAAACCGAAGATCGCCTCGAGCATCATGATGCAAGTGTTTGTTTTCTTGAGACCCCGGCCTTCATCTCCGTGGAAACAAAATGGGATGACCCGTGACGTGCATCCTGAATGCTCCTGGAACACTTCATGCGTCTTGTGTGTTTGTCGATAAGAAGCCCAAAAGGAGTCGAGCATCTTCTGACCTTCCACAATACCTAGACCACCGAAAAGTAGTTCAGGAGCTCGCTCAAGTAAGAACTGTGTGTAGTCCAGTGGCGAGATGTACGGAACCTCCAGATCGACCCCATCATCATTATGATAATGGAAGACACGAATAGGAACCTTCCAGACCATACCCCATCGATAGATGAAAGCTCGGGCATTCCTCGATGCATTTGCCTCCGCCCCTGCTGGAACAGCCCGGCCAAGGCCCGAATCAGCCACGGTAGCTGCAGCTGTGAGGCTCGACAGAGTCGTAGCTGGTACCTTAAGACATCAGTTTAAGCTACGGGAGGGAATTTCTCTGCGTGCCGACACTTTGGAGTGTAGGCAGGGGTATTAAGTTAGGGGAATGGTCGGGTTTCTTCGTACTAATATTGTATTGTGTGGGTGTGGGTGGCGACTGCACAACTTACAGGACAAGCTGCACAATCAGCATAGGCTTCAGCAAAAGTTTCGGCAAGTCGGTCTGGTTCAATCGATTCAGGACCTGGCAAGAAGGAGTTTGATTATATATAAATTCGAGAAATGCATGCTTTAGCAGCACTCCAACCAAGCAGTGCCCTGAGTCTTGCACCACGGTCCTGGCTTTTCTGCGGCAAGATTCCCGCACGTCAGTGGCCCCCCCAGGGGCACTTGTTCATCGGGCTCTCAAAGATCTTACGGTTCCGAGCGCCCAAACCTACATAACTCCAAAACTTGGGCCTTGCCACTCAAACTTGCTATAAGCTTGCAGGGCAGCCTGTAGGGAATCACTTCCATGTGATCAGAAAACTCCTAGCTACGCTTCCGCTTGCCGGCACCCTTGCCACTGCCAGGCTTCCCTTGGGGAGAGCTCTTCTCTTCCTTCACCTTGACGCCTTGGCCTTCATCTTGGGCTTGGCGTTTTTTCGGGGCTTTTTTTTTCCAGCAGACTCGCGCTTCTTTCAGGGGATGCTCAATTATGGAACATTGCTGTGCTGAAGTTGCACAATAATTGCTAGCCTGGCACGTGTCTCCAAAGACAGCGATGTGGTAGCCCTGAGACAGCGATCGAGCTTAGGAGTATATGATTGTCGGAACTAAGTAGCATGCAGCCCAGAACATCTGCTACATAAGGTGCTGGCACTCCGATAAGCTCATCGATGCTCTTGATGAGTGGCTGCTCTTGCCTCTGATGCCACGGTCTTCGGCTACTTGACAACGATTAAAAAATAGTTTGGAGGCTTGCTGGCAGAGTTGAGGCGAGATTCACCTTCGTAAGCCCCGTAACCACCTTCTGTGAGTAAGCATCGCTGAGCTTTGTGATGCCATCGCTCAGCTCCCGATTGAGGTCCTGGCACTGCTTCAGGAACCTAAGGTCGCGTGTCGGGGATGCATAGGAGACTTAAGGTTCTAGAGGGTCTTTTTCCGGGTTTAGGGTTCGAGGAGTTCTCGGGTTTGGGCTTCCAGGCAAGATGACATTCATCTTGTGAGACCGAACAAAGACTGCATGTGTAGACCAGTTGCCGCACCACTGCTGTAAGATTGCTATCTAGTTGAGCAAAGCCACGCTTCCTGGATCTTGGTGGGCTTCGTCTCGGTTTCCAAGCGCTCAATCATCTTCTCGATGATCTTGGTCCGCTTTCCCAAAGATGTCCTGGGCTGTTGGGGGTTTACGGCTGTGATATATAGGTGGGCAGTCCTTCTGGAGGATCGATAAGAATGTACGAGGCTCCACGATTGCAAAAGTTGCAGGTGTGATTTTGCTCAAACCACGAAACAAATAGCAACCCTGCTCCAGAATTAGACCCCGAACCGAAGGAATTATATAGGAGTTTAAGTCTAGTAGCAGGATCTTCGGCAGGCTCGACAACAGGGACGCATTGGGGTCATACTCCGGAATCCCGAGCTTCTTCCTAGCCGTTTGAGCAAAGTCCTGCTCGTCACCATCCGGGGCGCCTTCCTCGACACCTTGTGGTAGGTAGCCAAAACCCTATACTAGCTTAGGGCTCGGGTTAAGGCTTAAGGTTTAATCGGTTTGGGCCGGTGTGGTAGCTTTAGTTTAGATCCCGGACGTAGGTGTACACCAAAAGCTGTTGCCGAAATCCTCTAACCCCCTGAAAACCCCAACTACTTCATCGGCCCCCCGCCCTCTCCCCACGCACTTCTGCAAGCGCTTCAACGGAAGGGTTTCGAACTTCGGGTTACGTGATCGTGCTAACTTTGGGGCTTCAGTTTTTTCCTTTTGTCGAGGCTAAAGGGTTCAAGGGGCTGGACTCATTAGGGAGGAAACATCAGCAGTTGTTGGTTGTCCACTGTGTGGGCGTTCGGAGGTAAGGGGGCGCGGTTGTCAGGTTCGTGGGTTTAGGGATCATAAGTTACAATGATAAGCTAGAGAGCGGGGTGGCCTCCCGCGGCATCCCCCATCGCTGGGGCATCCATACCCATGCCTTTCAGGCCCTGCTCCGTCCATCTGGCCCTCTTTGTCATCGATATGGAGGACTTCTTCCTGAGGGGCTTAGCTTCTTGGGGATTACTGTAGGCATGATTAACTTGACATAGAGGAACCCTGCTTAGCTAGTGCTCACAGAATAAGCTTCCGACCTCACGGTGCCCTTTATCGTCCGCTCGACATAGTAGAGCATCGTGTGTTCGTAGCGATCTCTCCTAGCGTGGGTTATTTGGGGTATAGGACAGACGTGAACTTAGACAGTCAGCAGTCCTCATCAATTCTTTGGGGTTCGTGCGGCAATGGGCTTTGATGGCCTCGATCCTTTGCCTCACATAGATGGTTCTGCAAGACCCCGTTATATGAAGGCGTAGTGTGCACTCAGATTGCATTTATTGCAGATAGACAGCTCAGAAAACCCCCAAGATCTCATCGTTTCGCTGCTGGCATACTCCCCCTCAATGACTACTTCGTTCTCCAGCATCTCTGCCCTGATGACTTCCACCTCTGAGATGAAGGTTGCCTTGGGTTGGGTCGAAGCATGGAGGCTAGGTTTGCTATGAATTTAGGTAGATGTTTGCTTCCCGACATCGACGAATCAAGTGAGATCAGCACAATAGGCCTAGTTGCAGGGTCGTAACCCACTTGCAAAAATATCTCTTCAAGCATATTTCGCCTGGCTCCACGACCGTGCCACTCACTAAAGATTTCTTCCGAAACCTTTAGGCTGCCGTTGGTTCTTCGTTTAAATATTCGCTGGGATCTCATTCGGATAGCTTGTGCGCTGATTTGCGGACGGCCAAGCTCCGGCTCCGGCGCACTCTTGTCCTGCAAGTCCGGAACTGAAGCAAGGATATCCTCGTCCGTCAAAGTTTTGCCCTTCGGCGTCTTCCGAACCGTCTTTGCCAGAGTGGAAATGTGCTTGGGAACGGGGCTCATAGCTTTCTCGGCGCTCGCACTCGTAGGCTTCTTGGTGTTCGGGCTTGGCACTGGGGCTTCATTCACTTTCCGAGGCGGTGTCTGAGTCTGGGTCCCAATTTCTATGAGAGGTGGCTCCAATATGCTTGGGGTTGCTTTGCCGTGGCAGGGCGTGGCTGGCTTCGGTTCTGGGACCTTTGGGGGAGGAGTCGGGAGTGGTTCTGGGACCTTTGGGGGAGGAGTCGGGAGTGGTTCTGGGACCTTTGGGGGAGGAGTCGGGAGCGGTTCTGGGACCTTTCGCGGAGGAGTCCGGAGCGGTTCTGGGACCTTTCGGGGAGGAGTCGGGACGAGGCCTTCGGCGGGCTCAGGGGCCTGGCTTTGGCTCTCCTTCCCCGAAGCTCTTGGGGAATCCAACAGGGTCTCCAGTTTCCCCGGTGACAAGGAGCGGCGTGGCAGCCCCTCTGCTCCCATCTCATCCAAGGCATGGGAAAAGGGTTTCGGAAGGTTTTTCTTGGAGGTCTCAGTTGAAGGCTTAGGGTGTAGTGTTTGGGGTTATACGACTTATAAGGGTGATGGGTTTTATATTTGAATGAAGACTTGGCGCTTGGAGTCGTTCTTGGAGCTCCTCGTTCGATAGCTTGGATAAATCCATCATGTTGTCATGGTTCTGGGATACAGCCAGCAAGCCGGCTTGGAGGGTAGAGCTCGACCAGGTTCTAGAAGGACAGGATTTGGGCTTGGCCTTCGACATGTCTCCCATGGTTACGGAAGCAAGCAAGCTACCCTCTCGATAGAACAGAAGATCCCTGAATCGAACCGATGTAAGATTGTAACCCGGACTTCAGACAACCCAAACTCCATTTGATCCCATTATGACAACCATTGTCCTAACTGGGAAGCAAGAGGGGCTTGAGAAGGCGAGGCCACAATTGGAACGTATAGGCTTGTGAAGAAGCAGCATGAACTTATGCTCTCCATAGCATCGGCACTGAACATGTAATGCATTCTGCCGAAGGACTTTTGATGCATGGCATACAGCAGCTGATTCCCGAAGCACAGGGTGTTTGAAATCGCTGGCCCGGTCTGTGCATGGGCCAGCACAAACACAGAATTATCCCTTATGGCAAGTTCCAGGACCCGCTTGCTGTTTGAAAAGTATATAAACCCTATTTGCGGAGCCCACTTTGCCACTTCGGGAATGTCAAAAGTAGCCCAAAACAGCGATAACGGCAAATAACGCCTTTTGAACGCGAAATAACGCTAAAAGAACGCACAATAACGCCTGCACCCGAAACCTCTTAAGCACACTTTGGTCGATCTGAACTGCAAAAGCCAACCAAAAACGCTTCTAGCAGTATTCTACTACTAGGAGTATGTAATCTGCCGTTTCGCTTCGGCATACAACTCACGGGCCCCTGGCTCAATCTTCAGATGCTTGGAACCCAGAACATACCTGAGAGGCTCGACGACGGCGGCGTCCTCCCAGCTGCTCCACTGGGCTGCCATCATCATGTCCGTGACTGCCGTCTCCATATCCACCTGGATGCAAGGAAGGGTTCGGGGTCTGGTGGTTTAGGGCTATATAGACTATAGAGGTTTAGAGGGGTTAGAGGGGTTTGGGGCTCCTTGCTTTGAGGGACAAGACGAAACTTGTGGGCTGCGGGCACCGACCGGCTTGGCTTTGATGGAATTTAAGACTCTAGGGTCTGTCCGATTGGGGTTTGAGAAAGTTTAGGTTTTGGGGTTTGAGAAAGTTTAGGATTTGGGTTGGAGTAAGTTTAGGATTTGGGTTTGAGAAAGTTTAGGATTTCGGGTTTTTGGCTTGGTACACTTCTCGATATATAGCTATACATCTGCGTGGAAAGCAGTCTGACCCCAGAGCCCGCCCAGCTCCACATCTTCTGTGCTTTTCGCTCCTAAAGAAAAACCGCAACCCTAACACTGACTGTAAGACGCTAAAGAAACCAAGGTTAAGCCGATTCGTCTTCACTCTGCGCTGTAGCCTGCGCCGTGAACTGGGCATGCTCTGCAAAGGCCTTCGGGAAGAGCCGCAGCAGAGCCTTGACGAAGAGCGTGGGGTAGGTCCTGGGATGAAGGCTTTTGGTGGTTTGCTCCGGGGGGCTTGCTTTTCTACACCTAACTCAGATGGCCGAGCTTCTGCGTGGACTTCAGCTCTGGCCGGCCCTTGAACTTCATTTGGTTGTTCTTGTCACGATAACGATCAACTGTTGCAAACCGACACCTTGTGGAACGTCGCTGAAGTTCCCCACGATCAAGCCAGCTGTATACTTTTGAATTGCTGATGACGGAGCTGCGCTTCAAAGTAGGTGACCCGAAGTGCTTCATCCAGAAGTTGATGCGATAGACCTTGGCTGGGAACAGCTTTCTAGGAATTGATTATGCACAACTAAGGACTCGGATCTGCGATCTTGGATTGCAACCTTGATGTGTTTGGCTACTGGTTTGTCTATGGAGCCTCTGGGTCGTCCTGGGTCTCCTAGCAGCACAAGCTTCTACGGTTTAGTTGGGGTTTGGGTTTTTGGTTTAGGGTTGAGGCTTTTGGCTTTGAGATTTAGCAGAGAGACGGACTGTCCAGCGCGCTTCAACAGTAGCAGAGCCTCCCTGAACTTGGGGTAGTCAAACATCAAGGTTGAGCTCGGGTTCTCCACCAAGAAGATAGCCTCCATGCAACCCAATAGAAGCAGCAACAGCGACGTCCTGCAAGGGGTTGGGGTTTATAACATTAATCACACAAACACCGAATCTAGCACCCAGGAGATCACACCAGAATCCTAATGTTACCTGGATAGAATAGGACAGTGTAGTAAGTCCTGGCAACCATAAGGTTACCGGCGCGTACACTTGGGTGCTCCGTGTTCCCAGGAGTCGCCAACGCATCACGCTGGGTAGAGCCACGTGAAGTCAGTACCCAGGAGGCACAAACCGTTCCTAGAACAGCGAGTGCACCTCGGAAGTTGGCCTGGAGCACCAGTATACAGGCCAGCCTGGGATGAGGCTTATGTGGTACGTAGCTAAGCAGGGTCAGCTTAATTATTATTTTGGAGTAGTTTGACACAGACCAGGCGACCGACCTTAATTCTAGCTTGGGCACGTGAACCCAACGTCTGAATTCACATCCATAGGCGCTGGCGAAGGACGCCAAATGCTTCTGCGTTTTTTTTTTGCGAGGACACAAGCTGATATCGTAGGCGGCAGCATGGTACCCTAAGATCGAAGCCATTCTCGACACCTTGCATGAGCCTGCAAAAAAGTCCAGAATATCCCAATGACGCCTCTTGAAATCGACGAAGTCCAGGTGAGCACAGTAGAGCAAGACTACAAAGTCCTGAAGAGTACCAAAGGTCACGTAACTTCACTGTTGCTAACTGATAACATGACGAGGTAATCGATGCTGGGCCAAGACTCGACTGGGGCGCCTATGGCCAAGAGCCGACGAAGGACCAGGTCGATTTCGTCACGGTTCATGATGACCCCAAAGAGCTTTGAAAGTACGAGGGCAGGGTCACCACTAGTCCGTACATGTTTGGGGCATGCACAGCTAGAAGCTGCACTCAAAAGACACTGGGAAGTGAACTCAGGACCTACGGGGTTCAGGTCTTGCATACGATTGAGCCTTAGTGTTTAGGGTTTGGTTGCATGTAGGCATCAGCAGACATGTGCTCCGAAACTCCTGTCTTGATCCCTGCACTGAGAAGCAGCGACAACATAGAAACAGCCAGAATGGCAAGTCTCATGGCATGCATGCTTGCTGCATTCTGAACTGAAAGCAAGTGTGAATCCCATCTGCGCCCTTTCCAAATCGAGCCAGGATATCCCGGGCACGCCTTGTAGAAGCCACGGGACGCCAAGAAGTTCATCACACCTGCACACAGCAGGGATCCGATGAGTCAGCTGTTGCTTAAAAAGGATGTGCTTGAGCTCTCAGGCAATCAGAAAGCTTTTTTGGACTGGCTGCAAGTGCCACCGTTACTCCCCAGGCACCTTGGAACTTCCCAAATCACGACCGAATACAGGACTCAGGTTTTCGATCACAGAGCATCTTTGAGCACGACACAATGATTCGGAAGCCAACATAGCTTTAGGGTGCAGGTTAAGGGGCTAAGGGTTTTGGCTTGTCGTGATTTTAGAGTTTCGGGGGATAGTTTCTCGAAGCTGCTCACTCGATCTATCCCAGACCTGTCTAATCGGTAATGCTCAGCCGAACAAAAGTCGATCTAGGTTCCATCCCAGATCTGTTACCAGCACCTTTAGTGCTGATGTTGATGCACTCACACTTTCTCAGCATCGGCACAGGCCTTACCTTCAGGGTGGGTAACAGCAACTCGGAAACTCTTAGGGTTTTAGGTCCTAGAGCTACGGGTAGTATACAGGGGTTTATGCAAGGGTCTCAACTTCTAGGGTTCCAGCTTCGTCTCGAAGAATTATCGATGGGCTTTAGGTTTTAGGGCTGAAGGCTCTTAGGGTTATACAGGTCCTAGGTTTTGATTTAATCCTAATTCTGAGTCTAGTCACTGTTGAAGAACTTTGTAGCCGCAGCTCGGCAGACTCGATCGTATTTGGCCCGGGAAGGGTTCTCCATGCTGAGAAGGTCGCCGTAGACCATATCCCAGTAGACTTCCTGCACAAGGAATCAAACCCTAGCCACTTCCAACTGAAGCCGGTGCCCTTCAAAAAACCGCTATTCTTTCGTAAGCAGGAAACCAGAACCTTAATAATTGAAACAACACCCTTCAAGTAAAATGGCCTCGCTCTGGGAAGGGAACCTAAGCTTGGGAGCGATCATGGAATCGAAGATCTCCTGCACGGATAGGAAGCGGTGCCTCGCAAGCTCCCCCTTGCCGATTCGGCGACCAGCGAAAGTAGTTCGCTTGCTCTTCTTCGTAGCAGGCTCCTCCTCGACAGCACTGGCCTTGGCCTTGGCCTTTGCCTTCGCTTTCGACTTCGCGGCTGTCTTAGCAGCTGGTCGCTTGAGCACCGGTGGCGGCTCGAACTCAGCGTCGACGTCCTCAACCTCCTCGCCGGCAGTCTCCTCGTCGCTGATCTGCAAGGCTCCCGCCTCAACCTTCACCCTGGAGCCGCCACGGCCGCCTCGGCCCGCACGGCCACCTCGGCCCCCACGGCCACCTCGGCCCCCACGGCCGCGGCTTCCACGGCCACCACGACCGCGCTCAGCAGCCACTGGGCTGGCACACTCGCCGTCCGATGCCTTTCCCTCAGGGTCCACGACGCTCTTCGAATCGCCATCATCATCATCATCATCGTCATTCTTGAAAGCCTTCGCCTTGGCTTTGGCTTTTGCTTTGGCCTTCGATTTTGGAGCGCTCTTGGCCTTTCCCTTGGCCTTGGCTTTCGCTTTTGCCTTGGCCTTGGCTTTTCCCTTACCCTTCTTGGGCTTTGTTGGGGTCAGCGCGATATCATCCTTCAAGTCCCCAGCTTTGCGCTGCTGGTCCCGAAGCACAAGAGGCGGCTCCGGCGACATCACTGCCTCGGCCTTGCAGTACCCAAGCACGAGGCTAAGTCTAAGTTCATCCAAACCTAAAGAAACTAAACACTACAACCTCACTCTGTTTCCTAAATAGCTAACCTGGGAAGGCTTTGCGGAATCGTTCTTCTCCTCAGCCGCTGCTTTGCATGGAGTCACCTCTGGGGCGTAGGATGGGCTACCAATCATTCCACCGGTCGCTTCATCCAAAGACTTGGGGCTGGATGAAACAGAAGATGCAGAGTCAGCACGGGCCAAGCCATCCCAGTCAAGGGTGTCAGCAGCATCAGGACCTATAGTTACCGTTTCGGAAAATGAATTAATTAAGTGGAACCGAAGTCTTAACTTAACTATTCTTCTAGTAGTGTATTATGTCAGTCGAAGTACACACAGTAGCTTTCGGCGGCTCGCTGCAGCGCGCTGCTGCTGCTTGCCGTCGGGCAAGCTCTGCCCTGTCAGGGATTATAATTCCGAAAGATACTAGACGGTAATCAGTAAGTGGAAAAACAGAACCCCAGAATCTGCCTCAACTGCTTCCGCATCATCTCTCGAGCTGCAGCCAAATCCGAACTTGGGCTGGGCTCCTCTTGGAAGAGCCTCTTCGGTGTGCACACCGGCTGCCGACGAGTCAGAGCAGGAACAGGATTCGGAGCTTCGGGCGCCGGCGTCGGAGTTTTCGGAGGCGTCTTCGGCTCCAAGCTCTCAGCGGAGCTTGCCTTCACCACCTGAGCATCCTGATGTATATCCAGCTGCGGCGACTTCGGCAACAACTCCTTAGCCTTCTCCAGATAGGGATCCGAAGGCTCAACCGTCGGATCATCCACATCCCCAGCCTCTTCCTCACCCTCCTCCATGGCAGCATCTGCGTGGCTTGCAAGCCCATCAGCTGCATCGTCATCCTCAGGGATCTCCAAAGGTCCATCCTCGATGGCTAGCAACTCATCGTGAGGCAAGCCACCTTCAGGAATAGTCCATGCATGCCGGAGGATGTCGTAGAACTCATCCAAGCAACGATCCTTAAAACCATATTCACCGGAAGCCATAGACCCCAGCCTATTCTAGACCCCAAAGAAAAATCCCTGCTGTTTTGAACAACAACAGAGGAAATTCAAGCGTCTCGGTTTGTCGACCCTGACGCAAATCGACGAAGCCCGTGACTGAAGAGGACTTTGAGGCCGGCTCCATCAAGGTGAATTTTGATCCTATCGTCAATCAGTCCCAAGCTGTTGCGAAGAATGCTCACCTTGATTTCAACTGGTTGGAACCGGAACACCGACTGTTCAGTTGAAAGATAAAGACCAAAGCTAGAGCCCAAATCTTATACTATCTGATGATTTACTTCCTCTCGCATTCGATCGATGGGTACTGTCTTCGGATGATCACATCGCTGCACCCACCACGTGGCAACCACCTCCAGAGCACGATGATTCAAACGCATCGCGGCCACACTGGCCACTCCAACCGCACGCTCATTGACCCATCTCGTGAGAACTTGCTCCGGCTTCTCCAAGATGCGTCGGCGCAGTTGTTCCGACTCTTCGATCATACGTGCCAGGTCCCCTGGCTTATCAACGGCCGCCATGATTCCCTTCTCACACGGCCACACGGACTATGATCCGCCTACAGATCTGCGAAATCGCTGCAGCACCGTGGCACAGCGCTCAATTTGATGCAACTCTGATCCATGTTCAAACAGAGAAGATGCCCAAGACCCTCTAATTCAAAGATGCCCAAGACCCTCCAGAGCAATTCAAAAAGAATGGCAGAAACCACTGAACCTATCCGACCTATCCTAAATCTCCCTTTGTGCCGGAATTACGGTAAGTGCCGGCCTTCTCATACCGGAAGATCTCTGCCAGCGTAGGTCGCCGCCACTGTACCTGGAAAGAAAACAAATTGAATTAATGAAGCTCCAAGACCCAATCACCCATTATTCGGCAGATCTCCATCCATCTTCCCTTCAAAGGATGAACAAACCGGAATGCACTTGGGGGAGGCGCACTTCACCAATGTTCCGATCGCAAGCCATCGCATGACAGCACAGAACATGTTGCATAAAACTTCTGTCATGACCTTGCCTGAATCAGAGGACTGTCTCTACAGCCTCATGGTTTATTTGATTATTAGACTGCTCCTTTCCTATCTTCGGAACGATGATTATGACATACTGCCCAAAGACCGAGATTGTGTCATATCGAACTTGCATCAAGTGGAAAGCTCAAGAGAGACCGAGACATCAGATCAAACGACTGCCCACAAATCATCCCCAGAATCCAAAACCCTATTTCTCAAAAAACGCTCCTAAGCAAAATTTACTATACCTATTATACAGAAACGCTTTTTTTTTTTTTTTCTTAAATTAAAGGCGTCAGGATTCTCCAGGTATGAAGTTTACCCGCATCATGCGCAGGCGTTGGCACGCTGGCCTTCCATGCAATGCTCCATCCAGTGGGGCAGGCAACAGATGAGCTTGCAATGATTTGCGCCAGCATGGTGTTTCTCGGCTGAGGCGGTTTCAGCCCCATGAGCTCCCCTACGATCGAGGGTTTCGGGTCAAAGATGTTGAGGTTATTTCTGGACAGGATTTGTGTATGTCGGAGGGGCTCTTGGTGGGGTTGTTTACCAAGGCTTTGCAGAGCTGCCCTTTGTCTTAGTACCACAGAGTAGGCCCAGACCTCGCCCCTGTCCAAGGCTTAGAGTCCCCCAAAAGAGATCGTGCCATGAGCGAATGAGCGTGTAATGCTGCCTTCTTCAGGGGCTCCATTCTGATATGGGAGATATATCCTACAACCTTACAAGTAACCCTAAATCCTAAACCCTACTCCTTACACCCGAACCCTAAAGCCTTCCTCCACAGGTTTCTCTATGTTGTGTTGGAAGCAGATTACTTGGAAGCTCATCGCCCTTGGCTGCCAGCTATGCAGATCCTTGGCACGGTCAGGTTCAGAGGCTTTCGACTTGGGTTAAGGTTTGGGTGTTCGTGGTTCAGCGGTTTCGGGATTTCGGGGGTCTTGCTTCTGGGGTTTCGATCGAAACCCAGATACCTTAGGGTTTCTCTCTTGCGGCAATCGCGTGCGAGTTTGCAGGTTTTACGGAAAGGGACCTCCATGCACCGGCAAGCCCGAAACCCGAAACCCGCAACCGTAAATTCGGGCCAGAGGCTGGGAACGATGCCCAGCACCTCATATATATATATATACATATGTGTGTATATATATATATATATGTATATATCTATATACTTATATGTATATTTGTTTTTTAGTTGTTTTTAGTGTGTGTATATATATATATATATGTATGTGTATATCTATATACTTATATGTATAGTTGTTTTTAGTTGTTTATTTAGTTTATATATATATACATACATATATATATATGTATATGTATATATATATATATATATATATATATGTATATATGTATATGTATATGTGTATATATATATATATATATATATATGTATGTTTATATATATACATATATATATATATGTATGTGTGTAGAGGCTTTCGGGTTTTATACTAGGGTCGCGTTGGATGCTCATCAGGTTTCTCAAAGGGCAAGGTTTCAGACACTATTCACTCACCATGTCCCTCGCGGTCCCTTTACACTTGTACCATCACATCTCCCAAGATCCTATTCCTTACCTTCGGTTAGTAGGGAATGGAAGAATGGCAGTAATACTCATACCCCATTCCTCCATTCCCTATACGAACCAAAGGTAAGATTCGGTTGGTTTCGCAGCAGCGAGGATGGCTTACGCCTTTGGCTTCGCTGTTGCGCCTTGGCTCGTCATCAGCAGGTCTTTCCGAGCAGATTCAGGGTTTGGGGCGCGGGGCTCGTGGCTCAGTTGTGTCTGTGGATTTTAGGGTTTAGGGCTTAGGGTTTCGGGGTATGCCTACTCATATATCTAGTTCGCCAGGCTTACTGTAACCACGAGGGCAGTTCCCCCACACCCCAAAGCCTAACCCCAAAACCCAAGGCCTACTAAACACTAAATCCCAAACCCTAAACCCGAAACCCTAAAACCCTAGACCCTAAACCCCCGGCCTACTAAACTCTAAACCCTATAAACCCCAAACCCAAGGCCTACTTCACATCGCCCTTCTTTTTCCCGTTCTTTGTGGCGGCCTATGGGTGCACAGTGCTGCTGATCATCTTCCAGGCAAGGTCTGCTGCGGCCTGCACCCTAAACCTCAAAACCCTAACCCTAAGACCTAAACCCTAACCTGTTGTGGATCTGAGATTACGTCTTGCTCGCGTTGGAGCCCTTCTTAGGGGTTTGCTGCGGACTTTCGGAAAGGCTGTTGTCATTCAGGTTCCCGCAAGTTTTGGACGATCAGGGTCAGGGTCTTACGAGGCCGCAAAATGCTCAATCAAATCCGATTAATTACCGAATATTCTGGTTCAGAAGCTTGAATAATTAGTAGTGCTTTCCTCTTAGGGTCACTTATGGTATCTATCGTATATGCTACCCCCAAGCCCTATGCTGATAATTCAGGCCCCTACATCATGGAACCCTTAATAGCATCCCTTATAGAGCCCTTTACGTGCAGCCTTCAAGGGAACCCTATCTAGGATGCCCAGAAGTACCCTTATTCCCTTTTTGTAGTCCTAGGTTCCTTATAAAGTTACCCAATACCAAAACGAGAGGCCTTTTTATTCTTGGGTTACTTGGTATCCTAGCTATTCTTGTAAATAAGGGCCTTGTAATACGCCAGAGGTCCGGCGGCATGAGAGGGAAGTCGTGCAGTCCGAATGCTAGGCCCTGGGAAACGCCCCCAAAACGCCCCAAACCCGATACGTTTTTGTGGGCTGTCAGGGTGTTTTAGGGTTATATAAAGGGAACTCCAGAAAGTTGGAATGTGGATTAATGGTAGGATCCCCTATAATTTACCTTAAAGGGGTTACGATAATGATATTCCAACTTTCTGGCTTCTACTGTATGGGTTTGAGAAATATACCGGAAGCAATATTGAAAAGCAGCATTCTGAGTGTGTTCATTTCAACATCTGCCACCAAACAGGCCTATCGAGTCTACAAGCTTTACGCCTCGGAGGACAGGTGTGGAGACGGGATGCGAGGTAGGGTTGACATTGGTTGATATAGGGATCCTTTGGAAGACACGTGAAAGAATAGCCTGGGTGTCTTTATCTAGAGACGAGCAACATGACTTGTATCGAAGTCTGACTTCGGGCTAGGGAATTTGTGTGCTACCCCTTCGGGACTCTTCACTGGTATGAATGAAGTCAAACTTCCCTAAACCCTAAACTCCTTAAACCCTTAAACCCTACCCTAAGGCTCCTGGACCCTCGTAGTCAGATCCCAAACCTTAGCCCCCAAAGCCCGAACCCCTCCCCCAGAAAGCCCATGACGCCTTTCGGAGCCTTAGGGTAGACCCTAAACCTAAGCCTCGGTTTTGCTTCTGATCTGGAAGCAAGTGTTTCCCGTGCGAGGACACAGAAGCAGCGAAGTGGCAGCGGCTGCTCTTCTGGATCGCGGCCACGTTCTATCCTGCCTCTCGGTGATGGACGGCTAGCTCCTGCTCCTTGTAGCAGCCTTGATAAACAACCCGAAACCCAAACCCTAAGCCCTAAACCCTAAACCCAATCCCTGAACCCCAAACCCAAAGACAAACCCTAAATGCTCAGTTCTGTGTGGTGGCAGGATTTTGTGAGTATTTGCGCCCCTGTTTTAGGGGTTTAGCTGGTAAGAACCTAGCTTCGCCTATTCGCAGACCCCCGCAGTGGTCCACTGAGCCGAACAGAAAGCTTGAAGGCTACGTACATTGTGATGGCCAGGGCCGTGCAGGAGAAAGTGCTGGTGGAAGCATGGTGTTTGACACTGGATGATACTGCTGATGGACAAAAATCCTGCATTACCCATGATAAGGAATATATATATATATATATATATATATATATATATATATATATATATATATATATATAGACCATAGTTCCCATAGTTTAGAGTCCTTACGGTCATGCAGGATTTTGTCCATCAGCAGTAGGGAACAGTACAGACTGGTCACTTACGAGGCCAGTCATTGTGGAGGAAGTGGACGGGCTGATATATTTCGCACCAGCCCCACACCTGAAAGCCCTAGCCTTTCCTGAACCGTGAGCCCGGAACCATCATGATAAAGCTGCATGGCGGTGCTTTACCCTAAGAGTCCAAGTAGCCAAATAGTAGGATTTCAAATCCCCCAAAAACAGTTCAGAGTATGGATCTTGGGACCTGAGACCCTACTATTTGGCTACTCAGACCCTCTGGGTTAGTTGGCTGCTGTACCCTAAGCCATACACCCCAGACCCGTGGGTTTCGTAGGGGTTTATGAACCACAATGAGCAAGGCCGCTTTCCTCTTCCTTTGGGTGCCGGAGAACGCTTTGCGCTTTGGACCAGCATGTGATGCTATTGAGGTTGGGTTGGGGTTTAGGCTTTGGGGCTTAGGGTTTAGGATGGATTGGGGCCATGGACGATGCATGGAACGTTCAAGGGCTCTTATTTGGGATGTATATCGTCTGGTGGCTCCTTAGCTTTAAGTGTATTCAGTGGCGGTGGCTTATGTGGAAGCAGAAGGACCGTTCAGTGTCCTAAGCATGCAGTGCTGAGGGTTCAACATGTGACCGGGAGCTTAACGCCGTTGCGCTCTGGACTTCATAATACAAGCTCGGTAGAGTTGCATGACAGGGCGGTACAACATCTACAGGCCAGAGGCATTTTGCAGCTTGTGCCCCAAAGCCTTGCACTAAAAGACTAAGCCCTGAACCATAAGCCCTAAACGCCTTGAGTGAATCCGAAAGCTGGTGACTGCTCGTAAATGTTGTCCTCGAGTCAAGGGCACGCGCCACACAGGAACCAAGTTCATGCTAATCCTGTGGCTCCATTAGGGCAATCAGATATCGTATTGGACGAAGCCCAGAGTTCAGCCTGCATTACGCAAACCGGAACTCTGAATCCCAGCCACTATACATGCACATGGACGCTTAGCCTAGGTGCCCGATCTACCCTGAGCTGTTCCAGGCTTGGGTGAGTCAGCATGTGAATTTTAGGGTTTAGGGTCTAGCGTAAGCGTTTATGGGTTGACATCGTATGGGTGAAGGGTGTAGACCGCCCATGAATCCGACACTTTAATGCTGTAAGGGGATACTAGTATTGCTACTCACAATCGTTCAGACGTGGAGCTTGCATTGACATGGTGCAAGCCGAACATAATGCGGTTGATGACAAAAAGCCTGTATTACCCATCATAAGGAATGTACCATAGTTCCCATAGTCCAGGTTCATGAAGGTAATGCAGGATTTTTATCATCAGCCGTATCAAACCCCCAGAGGGGTCTCCGGTCTGACGGTTGCAGTTCAAGGTCGACAGCTGCACGATCCCTCCAGTGATCCGCAGACTAAAGCGAAGCACCCCTAAACCCTAAACCCTAAACCCAAACCCTAAACCCTAAACCCAAGCCCAAGAATCCGAATACCACACCCTGAACCCCATGTTTTTCGGGTGGTAGAGGTTTTCGGGACTATCTACATGCATGGGGACCCGACGAAACAGTACAGTCTAGCAGATTAGCAGAGGTCTTGGGAAGTACATCCCTCAAGCTGAAGCCTTGCAAGCGCTCCCCTAAACCGCACAGCCCCAACCCTAAACCCCAAAGCCCTAACCCCTACAGGCACCAAAACCCTTTTCCCCCTAAACCTGGTGTTTAGCAGGAACTACCTACAGTCTGCATTGTAGTCCCTGTTTGAGTTTGAATTGCTTTTTACTTGTAAGATCCCACAAAATGGCACCAAAAAGGAACTACGATGGAGACCATAGGCAGAAGCCTTGCTCTCTTGATCGGAGGCCTTGCACTTGCACGCCATGTTCCACATCGCCACCACCATCTCCCCGTGCCCTTGGCAGGAATCGTTAGGCTTCGAAGGAACAGGCTTTGAGGTTTAAGGGTTCAGGGGTTCGGCTGGGTGTCTGTCTGTGTCTGCCTGTTTCTGTCCGTGTCGGTGTCAGGGTGCTGATGTGGTACATGGTGTAAGTCGCATGCTTACGCTTTTCGCACGTATACATGTAGCATGCATAGGCAAGCAGTTTCATGCATATCATGACCTTGTAATCACCCATCCATCCATCTATCCATCCATGCATGGATGGATGGAAGGATGGATGGACGAAAAATGCATATAATATTGTGTTATCAATAAATATACATATGTATGTATGTATGTATGTTTATATATATATATATATATATATATATTGTGTGTATACATATATGTATATGTGTGTATATATATATATATATATATATATATTATGCATCTGTGTGCATGGAATTGGGGACCTATGACTTGGTCTTGACTTGGTCCATCTCGTCATGTCGTCACCCTTCAATTCGGGAACTGGTGACCGCTGCCTGTACCTGGCACGCAGGAAACGCTCATCTTATGTCGCAGTGCATAGAGTCGTGGGCAATGTGGGAGATTCAGTTCAAGTCAGCGAGTGGAGCACATATTGTATCATGATTGGCTTTCCAGGTATTGCTATGTTGTCTTCATGACGTACCATCGCTGCACAGTGCTGAAGCGCGATGCAGAGCATCGGCGGGGCCTCTGGTCTTATCTGAGTGTAATTTTGGATCGATAGTTAAAGTCGGGAGGTAAAGTCGTTTCGCTAAATCGTACCACCCGTATCTACCCTGGTCCGTAAACATTGAACAAACTTAATGTAGGAACATGATTAAGAATCCCTGGCCCTATAACCCCCAATATATTAGGATTCATATAAGGTAGCCTAGTAAAGGCTTAATCAGGTTCCCGCATTACGGTGAAGAGCCTTGTGCACTTAAGCTGGAGTTTTCAGTCGAAGGTGCATGGCTTAGGGTTGCTCTAGGCTGCAGAGATTCTGAAGCAACTCGATGGCTCCCGAAGCAGCCGGCGCAGTTTAACACCAGAAGTTTAGCCTTACATATGCTGCAGAGTGAGAGTCAATGTGTAGGATCTATACAAGCCTGCAGTGCTGTGAAGGCTTTGGAGTGTTCATGAGACGTATCGGGACATATTACAGATCCTATAGCAGCTGTCTACGCGGTCTGTAGAGCCTCAGTATGGCTAGGACCTAGAGCAGGCCCTTATTCCCTTTTTTAGGGTTCAGGTTCCCTTATAAGCCCCTTTAAACCAAAAAGGGCACCCTTTTTCTTCATAGGTTACTCTTGGGTCTAGATGGGATGGAACCTGTCGGGCTTGGAGGTTTACCGGTCTTCGGTGCTAGGCCAAGTCCTAAAGCCGCACCCCCTACTCCCCAGCCTCCTCGCCCGACACCCGAAACCCTTAAACCCCAAACTTTGCCCCAAACCCCCAAAGCCCTAAACGCCTCAACCCGAACCCTTTAAGGAACATCCTGTACCTGGACCCCCAAAGTATGTAGAATAATAGCTTTTTTTAGGTTTTGGGCCATTATTTTACCTACTTTTGAGGGTCTAGGTAGGCCCTACAGGAAACCCTGAAGGAACCCTAGACTGAGGCATCGGCTTAGCCTACGTGCACGTCGCTGCCGCTGCTTAGGGGAGCCTGGAATCCTGGAAGGTCGGGATTATAGAGTTTATCGGGGGTTTCAGGGTTCAGGTTCAAGGTCTTGGGGTTCTTTTTGGGGTTTTTGGTTTAGGGTTTTGTGTTAGGGTTTATCGTGGGGTTTTAGGGTTCAAGTTTCAAGGTCTTGGGGTTGTTGTTTTGGATTCTTTTTGGGGTTAGGGTTTCCCAGATCCTCCAAAATGCCTCAATCCTTTACATAATTTGGGATTAGGGTTTAGGGGACTTCGAGCACCTGTCAGAATCCTTTTATTGAGAAGAATTTCCTTATTATATATCAGAGGTCCTATACTGGTTTAAGGAGTATTCGTTATAGTTCACTTGTAGAAACCTTGTAGATCCCTTTACAGTAGAAGCCGGAAAGTTGGAATATCATTATCATAACCCCTTTAAGGTAAATTATAGGGGATCCTGCCATTATTCCATATTCCAACTTTCTGGACTTCCCTTTAAGGAACCCTTTAAGGAGCCCTGATATCGGAAGGTCTGGGTTTCAAGCTCGAAGCCTCCAGCCGCAAATCTGGGTTTCGGATTTCGGTCTTTGGGTTGAGGCTTTTAGGGTTTCGGGGTTTGGGGTTTAGGGTTGGGGTTTAGGAGTTGAGGCTCGGGGCTTTTAGGGTTCTTGGGTTTAGGGTTATTTAGGATTCGGGGTTTAGAGTTAAGAGTTTGAGGGTCGGTCGTTTCTCACAGGCTCCATGTACCTGTATATTGCCACAAAAATAACCGTAAGCCCCAACCCCTAAACTCTAGACCCGTGTTGGCTTTCGGGGCTAGTTTCAGCCTTTGAACTTTTTGTTTCGGGATTTTCGAGTGTAGGAGGGTGTGGGGCTTCTCAACTGAATTGCAGGATTTCGGGTGTCTCCGCTTGAGGATTTCGGTCAGGCTTTCAGGTTCACGATCTTCATCCTAAGCCCTAAACTAAACCCTGTCGCACTTTACCATCACTGCAGACTCCCGACCTCCACTCTGCCGCATAGAATTCTAGCCTTAAGAACTATATAGATCTCCCCAGCCCGAAGCCCAACGCATCAACTCAACGCGAGCAGGTGGCCCAGATGCCGGCATTGGAAGTGCGTGGAAGTGTTCGAAAAAGAGTCAGGTTATCGTGCTTAGGGTTTAGGGTGTCTGCAACAGTTTCGGGTTTACGGTACGACTCGTGATCCATAGGGTGGAATGAGGATGCTCTGGAGTCTGTTCACATAGGAACAGCGCACCTATGTTTAGGCTGTGGGTGTGGATGAAGCCAAATCCTACAGATCCTACAGAGAACTGTGTGCAACTTATCGGGGCTTACTGTTCAGACGCTTCGACACATTTGATTTGAGGTTCCCTTGAGGGCTCAGCGTGTAGATATGAACACTAAGCCCTACCTCAAGACCACCCGAGCCAAGCATGCAGATTGCCCGGGCATGCTATAGGAGCCTCAACAGTTGCCAATACCATCACCAATAGGGTTCCTTGTTTTAGTTGAAATTCGTAAATGAAAATGCAGTACAACGATTACGGTTCAGTACAACGTATTCCAAAACCTTATATATACATTAGGGCCCTGAAACGCGCTGCAAAAGCCTTAGACCCCGATGACCCTCAACCTCGGGTCTGTGCCTTCATTCCTGAATCATGAGCTCTAAATGAGACATGCAGAACGTACAGAACATGCAAAGTCCAGACATGCACATATAGAAGGATGTGGGTGGGTGTGTTTGTGTTTGTGTGATTACTGATTATGTGGTTTATGGTTTATGGTTTAGAATTCATTTGGGGTACATAAACCGTCCAAGAGCACCAATGACCTTAAGCCCTAAACCCTAAGGCCTAGCAAGCCCCTACGGCAGCCTACCCGAAGCCGCTGAAACCTGAAGCCCAAGCCCTAAGGTTTATACCCGAAACCCTACCCAGACAGCACACCACTCTGCTTCACCTTTAAACGAAGTCCCAAATCCAACATCTCTGGGCTCTTGCTACACCCCAAAACTGTAAAGCCCTAAACTCTACCGCCAGACCCTAAACCCTAAGACCCTAAACCCATGAAGCTAAATAGACCCTAAACCCTAAACTCTACACCCTAAAACCATTGAGCCATAAACCTTACACCCTAGCTCCGAACCCTACAGACCCTGTAGACCCTCACCCATAGATTACACCTGAATTTCGAACCATGTTATAGATACCTCATAACACCCTTCAAAGGAGCGCTTGAAGGAAACCTACTCTTCTTATTCACGCAGACCCTAAACCCCTAAACCCTAGACCCTATAGACCCTAACCCTTAAACCCTAACCCCTACACTCCCGACACCCTAAACCCCTAAACCCTAAACCCTAAACCCTTCAAGCCTCAGACCGCACGGACCTCAAGCCCAGACTCCACCCTATATACACCTTCTAGAGCCCTTTACAGGAGCCCTTAAAGGAACCCTACTCGACTCATAGAGCCCAGACCCCTAGAGTCACAACACCCTAGACCCTACATGCCCTGAACCCCCCAAACCCTAGACTCTTAAACCAACCCCGAAACCCTAACGCCTACACTAAACCCCTGTAAACCTTAGACCCTAAAACCCCCTAAACCCTTACCCCTACTAAAGCCCCCTTTCAACCCGAGACCCTAACCCCTAAACCCTAACCCCTACACTAAGCCCCTATAAACCCTAGACCCTCACCCCCAAACCCTAACCCCTACACTAAAGCCCCCCCTAAACCTTATAGACCCTATACTCCCCAACCCCTGAAATTTTGTCACGTTTCCCTATCAACCCTAACGCCTACACTAAACCCTATAATTGCCCTTTTGACCCCATACTCCCTAAACCCTAAACCCTAAACCCTAAACCCTAAACCCCTACAGTCCCCAACCCCTGAAATTCCCCACGCCTCAGCCGGGGAGGCTCCTGGCATCCAGCAGGGCCTCGCTGGAGAGGAGGCAGCCGGCGTTTTTCTGGGTTTAGGGGTTTAGGGTTTAGGGGTTTTTGGGTTTAGGGTTTAGGGTTTAGGGTTCAGCAGCTCCGGGTCGAGCAGTTTTATAGTAGAGTTGTATTTACGGTCTTGATATAACACCCACCCACCCATAGAATCCCATAACATTAAGCTATATAAAGTTCTTTCATCATCTTTCAGAGAGTTCTACCTACAACTTAGCTTGTCAAACTAGGCCCTAAACCTTAAAGCCCAAACCCTAGGCCCTAAACCCTAAAGCCCAAACCCTAGGCCCTAAACCCTAAAGCCCAAACCCTAGAGCCCAAACCCTAGGCCCTAAACCCTAAAGCCCAAACCCTAGGCCCTAAACCCTAGAGCCCAAACCCTAGAGCCCAAACCCTAGGCCCTAAACCCTAAAGCCAAACCCTAGGCCCTAAACCCTAAAGCCCAAACCCTAGGCCCCAAACCCTAAAGCCCAAACCCTAGGCCCTAAACCCTAAAGCCCAAACCCAAGGCCCTAAACCTTAAAGCCCAAACCCTAGGCCCTAAACCCTAAAGCCCAAACACTAGGCCCTAAACCCTGAAGTCCAAACCCTAGGCCCTAAACCCTAAAGCCCAAACCCTAGAGCCCAAACCCTAGGCCCGTTCGCGCTTTTTCACAGTTTTCTTCCGAAAACCGCGAACGGATGCGGCAACCAGAGCCCAAACCCTAGAGCCCAAACCCTAGGCCCGTTCGTGGTTTTTTTCAGTTGTCTTCCGAAAACCGCGAACGGATGCGGCAACCAGATTCTCAAAAACAAACCCACGAAAAAGGCGAGCAACCGAGTAGGTTGCCCAATGCGTTCGCGGATGTTTGGGTTTTTTTTGATTTTTCGGGTCATTTGCGGAACCCGTTCGCTGTTTTTCTCAGTTTTCTTCCGAAAACCGCGAAAGCATTAAGGTTTATATACATAAGATTATAGGGTTTAGGGTTTAGGGTTTAGGGTTTTAGGGGTTTTAGGGGTTTAGGGTTTAGGGTTTAGGGGTTTTAGGGGTTTTAGGGGTTTAGGGTTTAGGGGTTTAGGGGTTTTAGGGTTTAGGGGTTTAGGGGTTTTAGGGGTTTTAGGGTTTAGGGGTTTAGGGGTTTAGGGTTTAGGGTTTAGTTAGAGGAGTTTTAAGGGTCCTTTAAAGGGATCCTTTAGGGTTTGGTGGTTCCTTTTTTTCTGGGAGGGTTTTCGGTTTCCTTTAAGAGTTGCTTTAAGGTTTAGGGGGTTGGGGGTTTAGCGGTTTGTGGAATTTCGGAGTTTAGGGGGTTATGGGGTTTAGGGATTTCGGGGTTGAGGGGTTTAGGGTTTGGGGTTGTTCGGGGTTCAGGTTGGTCCGGCGTTTAGGATTCTTCGTGGGCTCCTTTGAGATTTAGGGTTTTTTTCGGTGCTGGTGTTGCAGGGGCTTGCCAAGAGGATCTTTGGATTTAGAGGTCGCGTTTTGGGATTTCGGTTTTAGGATCTGGGAGTTCGACTTTTGGCCCTGAGCCCCGAACCCACTGAACTCGGCTCAGGGTTTGGAGGCTTTGGTTCTGGGCTGGTTTGGTTCTACGGTGAATCGTATAAATCCTGCATTACCCATAATAAGGTATATACCATAATTCCCATAGTTTAGGGTCCCTCTGGTACGCAGGATTTAGATCATCAACAATAGGATCCCGGAGCTTTCAACTCATGTGACCGAATAACGGTGTTCTAAGTAAGGCAGATATAGATATGGGTAGTTGTCAAAATTATGGCCCCTTTTTGGGTACCCTAAATATTTGGTGCCGTAATATCAGAAGGACCCAAAAAGGAACCACAATTTGACAACCACCCGTATATCGGCTCACAAGCTGCGACTAGAAGGAGGCGTGCTTACTCAGCTTAAAGCGGCCTCCAAGGGCAGTTGCTGTCCGCGCAGGTGGCCGAATGGCGAGAGCAGAACCCCAGCTATCGCCAAGCCGTGCAGGAGGCAGGTTTGGGCGCGAGTGGGGTTGGGATGGTTTCGATACCTAAGACCCAAGTGTGGTCCCAAACCTAAGACCTTAAATCAAAA